GGCGAAGGGAGACGTCCGAATATCGAGGGGGTATCGTGGCTCAAACAAATACCATACGTGAGTGAATCGAAGTTCTCAATCTCTCAAATAATTTGACTTGATTAATCATGTCATCCTCTCCAATCTTTCATACATAACAGTTGTAGTTTCTCCTTTTTTTAAAATTAATAAATTTACTTGTTGTGGTTTTTAACACGTATTTAGATAGATCAGCCTGTCTCGATCTATATATGTTGCCGAAACCAAAATATCCGACATGACTCCAACTTGTCATGACATGAGTATGGGCATATCAAAACTCAATTATCCACCGGACCCAGACCTGATATCATTCCTATTTTAGGAGTTATTTTCTGCAAGACTCGATAAAGAATTTTCAGAAAGATTACAATATGTAACTTAATCTTTCATTTTATGCCATATAATTTAGCATTACATCTGTGTATCGTATGCGAGAATACAATCAACAAGAAAGATTTAACGGAGAAAAATCAATGAAGAACACAATCGACAAGACAAAAAGAAAATAAGAATTAATTCGGTCTCATAGAAAATAGAAAATCACATCTTTGTTTGAATGTTGATCAAGAGTCATTTATAAATTATAATACAAACTATTAAGAAAATGAGGGAACCGAAAACTCCCCACTCCAAGGATTAACAATACTCCCCATTACTTTGCACTTCATCCCTTCTCCAAGACTCGAGTAGCTAGTCCCCCATAAAGGTTTTGTTATTGTATGAGAAAGTAGTCGTATAACGTTGAATCCTCTCTTCTTTTCTTTGGAGCCTTGAACTGGAGGAAAAGTGGAAACAGAATTGGAGGGGGAAATAATAATAATAATAATAATAATAATAATAATAATAATAATAATGAAATATATATAAGTAAATGAAAAGGGGAAAGAATAACAAAAGGTTGAGTTTAGAGGAGGAGGAGCACAATGCAAGAAAAGGATTATGAATTATTTGCTTATTTTTTAGCATATATAAAATAAGAGAGACCCCCTCCCAAACAAACAATAGCCATACTTTTGTGGCAAAAAGTCGATGCCCTTTTCAAACAAGAAATGTTACCACAAGGTTAAAATATAATGATATAGAAGTCAAAATAGGACGAATATGATAAGAATCTGTTCGTGTGGTTCGTACGAAACTTGTCAAGAATGAGCTTTTGATAGGGCTTGACCTATAAGAAGCATCACTTGTATGTCTTCACTTTGTCAATCATTCATGTAAATTATTTTTAATATGAAAAAATACAGAACATTGAGATTTACATTGTTTCGTCTCTTGTATAGAGTTTACTTCATGAAAGAACAACAACTCGCACAAGCATATAGATCCTTCACAAGCATATAGATCCTTCACATACCTCGTATCAACAATCGCGAGGGCATGCAACAAATCAAATACACACAGTACAAATAATAATAGAATTACATAATAATAAGCGTTAGGATGAAATTTACTTTGGAATGTATTAACAAATTACATGTAAAAATATTATGGAAAAAAAATATGGGGAGAGAAAGATAAGGAAGCTGCAGTGCGTAGGGATGGATTTGGTCAGCCAATCGCGCCGCCCCATTTTCCATTTATTGGGAAAATGCACAACATTTTCGTCAGCTTGCCAACTTTGCCCTCAAAAGCCGCGGATTCACATGAGCCTCGTGGTGTCATTGTCGTAAATTTGAAGCGAAGACCGGGGTAGTTATGGGCACTTGGGCAGTGATAATTATACAAGAATATGGGGGAAATAAAGATTTTCCCAAGGTTTGAAATAACGTGCTAGAAGTAGTGTAAAAAAAATAGCGATAAAATATTCTAAATTCAATAATTTCATATCGCTTATTAATTTTGCTTCCGGTAAGAAGGCTTTCTGGTGAACCATCATGCGTGCTTAGGGCTGCAAATGAGCCAAGTCGCTCGCGAGCAACTTGGCGTTCCATCGGAAAAAACTCGTTCGATACTCGACTCGTTATTTAACAAGCTGACTCACGAGTCGAATAAACGAGCCAAGCTTGAGCTAGACCATGCTCAGCTTGATAAGCTCGGGAGCTAGCTTGACTCGGTGGCTTGTTGAGCTAAGCTCGCGAGCTGACTTTTACAGAGCTTGTGGAATGATTAATTACTCTTCTTAACATGAACATTATCTTGTTAATAAGTATGTGTATGGAAGTTAGCTGTTATTTTTAGTTCCTAGTATTCTTTTTATTATTTAAATTTTAATGTGTATGCATTTATCAACAAGAATGATTTCAAATCGAGCTTATCTTGAGTCGAGCTTGTACTCAGCTTGACAAGCTGTGTTAATGAGCATTTATCGATCTCTATCGAGTCGAGATCGAGTTGAATTATTTTTGATCGAGCCGAGCACGAGCTTGATTATTCAAATTCGGCTCGAGCTGAAAAATATATAAACGAACCGAAGTCAAACTAAGTAAAAACTCGACTCGACTCGTTTGTAGTCTTAGGTGTGGTACGATCTTTTAATCTTAAAAAAAATATAGAAAGAAAGGGCGGGCGCAAAGGACCGGAGTAGACATGAATTCAACGAGAATCGCGTGGGTCCACTCACTGTATTTCGGCGCCTAGCCTAGCTAGTAGACACGGTTTTGCCACGTGGACGATGGAGGGCCCGTGACCGAAAAAAACACACACATACGCGGCGGCGGGACCCATCCTCGTCCGATCATGGTCACGGGGAGATGCGGCGGACGGGTTTCGAGCGCGGCCGAGCTGCCCACCGTTTCCTTCGGCAAATTTGGGGTATTATTTTATCAATAGTTTATGAATAACCAATGTATTCAGAGTATTATTTATGGATTCAAGTCATTCAACAACATAGACATTAAAGCAAAGAAGCTATGTTTATAAAGTGTATTTGTTAAAATGACAATTTTTAAAATGGGAACGGAATGATTCACGTTGACCATCGTCATATCACCTGCTACAAAGAACATTAGCGACATAATGAGAAACACTCGAACACATTACATTTATAAGAGCGTTTAAATTACTAAACGAATCAAAGATACATAAGTCCATCGATATTATGAGTCTTTTAGAGCATGATTACCACTCACTGTACAATTTGGACTCATGATTAAACCATTTTGCACCCTCACGACTTGTCTGTACTACAAAATTTTGCGTTTTATGAGTGGAATCATATTGAATATTTTCTGAATCGCTATTCGTCGCCCTAAAATTTAAATTATTTCGCCCTAAATTGTACTATATTGACAATTATATCCTTGTACCCAAATTCAATCCGTAATCCCTAACTTGGACCACTATTGCCATTCCCCCAACCCGCCGCCACTCCTCGTATGACCACCGCTGCCGTTCTCCCAATCTGCCGCCGCTCCCATTCCCCCACCTCGCCATCCTCATATTATTTCTGAGAAAGAATCCCACCAGCCCGCCGCTGGAGAGCTCCTGGGCAGGTCGCCGACCATTTTCTGCTTCTGCATGGCTTTCAAAATAGGATTCATTTATGCTTCTACATTGCATTTTCAGATAAGGATTCCCACTACTAATTACTATCCGAAGCCTGCTTCCTCAGTTGATTCCGTATGGAAACCAGAATCACTAATGAAATTAAAAGCATATATAATTGTGTAGGAAGAATGGCCAGTATGCTTTATTATGCATTAGTTTTCGTGTCTACCTTTGGGCAATTAGCTCTCTTCCTGTCATGATAATGGGCTAAGGAGATTTAAGTCATTTTAATGAATGTTAGGGCGACAAATAAAGAGTTTTAGGGCGACGAATAGCAATCCCCAATATTTTACCATGTATTCCTTGCTTTGCTAAAATCCGATATGGATCATGATAGTTTGACCACATACTGAAAATAGAACCGAACTTTGAAGGGCAAATTTTTTTGGGGGGTAAAATTTTATGCGACTTCCTTTCCTACTTATAAAACGGAAATACTAATTCAATTAAATACCGAACTTTCCAGTTTTCTATGAAATATGCCCTATATACTTTCTGATTATTCAGTATTTTGGGGAGAATAGTTATGTTCTTACTTATTACAGCTTCCATACTTTTCTATGCATATTTTCTCTGACCTTGTTTTACGCATATTTTCAGTTATTTTTTTCTCTCGAAGATCTATTCTGAAGAATGAAGATTACTACCAAACCGAAGTTTGTTAGCATTTAAATCTATAGTGTTTTGCTATAGCAATATCTACCAAACACATGTTAAATAAAATGTGCGCATGTTTGTTTGGGTTGAACAAATATCTAATTTTTTTATTGTCATTTTTTATGCATTTGAAATTGTATATGCGACTCAATTTAATCCAAGTCTCAAACATTTTGAATAATTTTTTTTCTGAAACTTCATTCTATTAAAATATAATCTAAACGACTGAAAATTTCGATCCAAATATATCAAGTGTGGTAATTTGACTGTGAATTAATTGAAAAAACTCACATTGAGTTTATTGAAATAACACACTGAAAGATAATTATTTCAAATAACTCATCTTTTAATTTTTGTTCTTCCCTTTTGTTATGTCGCTAATTATCATTATCTATTTCATCTTAAATATAACGTTTTTTAGGTCGAATCTTCGATACGATTTTTCAATCCTAAAGAGAGGCAATAAATAAAGGAAGAACAAATCTGGGTTCTGCTATGTACAAGGAAACCCCCCAGCTAGGGCCAAACGGTCTCCATGGGCAATATCGGAATATAATAATATTTGTCAAAAAATTCAGCCCATTACAAAAAAAAAAATTAACCTCGTAAAGGGATAACAATTAATTAATCTGGGAGGTTGGAAAAATTTCGCCAATGGATCCACAATTCGGGATTTTTTATTTATTTAATTTTTACCTCGGAAAATCAATAATCTGTCCCCAAAGCTCCACAAAATCAATCAATAAACATTTACAGCTCAACCACACTTCTCTTTTTCTTCAATATTTTCCCTTATTTATATTTTATTTTCCCCAAATAAACCTCATAGGCATAGTCTCCTTTTTCTCTCTCTACCCATTAAAAACTGGACTCCTTCCTCTCCTCTCCACTTTCTCATTAGCCTTTTTGTAGAGCTCTGGTTTTCTCTCTCTCAGCTCTCTCTCTGTAGAGCTCTAGAGAAAGAAAATTTTCTGGCCATCCTTCATTGCCCCTCCAGCACACGGCTCTCTCTCTCTCTCTCTCTCTCTCTCTCACTCTGCTTTTTCTTTTTTCCTTCTAGTTTTGGCTCCTTCTTCTTCTCTCTGCTTCAGCCATATTTATAAACTAGATACATATTTCTTGTTGCACTACAGAGAAGGCAGGGGATAGACTTTTTGGGTTTCTTTTCTTTTTGAAATTTGTTCTGGGTTAGTTTGAAAGTTTGAAGCTTTGTATAGATACCATTGATTGATTGATTGATTTGAAAAAAAACAGGGGAGGTGAGAAAATGGGGAAGTCTGTAGTGGGTTATTGTGGCCTTTTCCTGACTCTGCTTCTGGTTTGTGTATCTGGGTTCCACCATGGGAACTTGCCTGTTATCCCCTTTGATGAAGGCTACACCCAGCTTTTTGGGGAAGACAATCTGGTTGTTCACAGGGATGGGCATACCGTCCACTTATCTCTTGATGAAAGAACAGGTCTTTTTTTCCTTCTTCGTCTTCTTTTGCTCTGTTTTCCATTTTGCAGCTATCGTGTTTGTGTTATTGTCTGACTGAAGTTTACTTTTATTCGTCTGTGTGGTTCGTTGGAGCAGGGTCTGGATTCGTTTCGCAGGACCTTTACTTACACGGCTACTTCAGTGCTTCCATTAAGCTCCCTGCAGATTACACTGCTGGAGTTGTGGTTGCTTTCTATGTGAGTTTTCCTCCTTCACCGTTTTCTCCCTTCTCTCTATCCATTGACTTGTTATTATAACCGGTTCTGCAGCAGGGTTTTTGGGGGGATTTGGTTTTGATTGAAACTGAAACGGACAAGGATTAAAAAAACCACCTTTTGGATCGAAAATTTTGGCCTTTCTTCTTTGCTAACAGAAACCGGAAAAGAGGGTTTTGAAACTTGGATAACAGATTCTAATCCTTGCCCGACTATGTGTATGACAGATGTCCAATGGCGATACATACGAGAAGAACCATGATGAGATTGACTTCGAGTTCTTGGGGAACATTAGGGGAAAAGATTGGAGGATACAAACAAATATATATGGCAATGGAAGCACAGCCCTTGGCAGAGAAGAGAGATATAGCCTTTGGTTTGATCCTGCCGATGACTTCCATCGATACTCCATTCTCTGGACTGATTCCCGTATCATGTGAGAGCTCTTGCCTATTGTCCATTGTTCAATTTCGCAGCTGATGGCCTTGATTGATTATGATGATGAGTATTTCTTAACATTGCGTTGTTTTGTGATGTTGATTGTCTGGTGGAGAAGAGATAAAAGTTGTTTTCTTTTTACCATTTTTACATGGGTCCTGTTTTGTTAAGAAACTAGCACACACATTGCTCAACTGTAAATTTCCTGTTTGTAGCAAGTCTGTGTAGGCTGATTAGCTCATTGTCTTGTGTTTGTTTCCTGAGAAAAGGAATAGGAAAGTTACATGTCTACACGTTTTGAATTATACGTTTAGATTGCACGCAAGATCCTCTTTTGTGCAAGCTGTTGTTAAAACAGTCCAACACACAGAACATGGTATGCATTTTTTGTGATGTGGGGATGTTGAAAGTGAAAGTTCTGCTAGTACTTGGTAGTTGGTACACTCCGAAAGTACACCTTTCATGATACCGGCTTCTCTCTCGCTGCAGATTCTACGTGGATGATGTTCCGATTCGAGAAGTGGTGAGAACCGCCACGATGGGTGGAGATTTCCCATCGAAGCCAATGTCTCTGTACGCGACGATATGGGATGGATCGGACTGGGCCACCAACGGAGGGAAGTACAGGGTGAACTACAACTACGCACCTTACACTACCGAGTTCTCCGACTTTGCCCTCCATGGCTGCGCCGCTGATCCCACAGAACACTCCACCACGACATGCGACACCACCTACACCACGTTACTGAAAGCCGTAGCAATCTCAGGCTCGCAGAGGACCAGGATGGACAGGTTCAGGACCAAGTACATGACGTACTCCTACTGCTACGACCGTGTTCGATACAAGGTCCCACTGCCCGAATGCGTGATCAGCCCGCAAGAAGCTCAGCATCTGAAGTCGTTCGATCCAGTTACATTCGGTGGAGGTAGGCCCCGCCACCACGGGAGGAGGCACCGGAGGAGCCACAGAGCAGCCGCAGCAGTCAATGGTGAGGCCATTTCTATGTGAGAATAAAACACCCAGAACAAATGAAGCATGTTTTGGCCAGAATGGAATAATGGAATGTGTGTCTTGGGGTACATTCATGAATGTGGATGGGTGATGGTGGTGGGGAAGGTGGGATTTTGGTGTTTGATTCTGTTGGGATGAGTCGAGTCAGGTTACCTGAGTCGGTTCGGTTTGGGGTCGGTTTGGTTCAGAATAGTATTGTTTTTTTGTTTGTGAATAGAGATGAAAGAAAGAGCATAGATTCTTGAGAGAGTGGTTTGTGGTGGTGGTGGTGGTGGAAGCATGGAGGGAGGAGAATGGAGATATTCATGGTTTTCATATTATTATAAATTTCTATATGGGTTATGTGTATAGATTGATAGTTTAATCTTCCTTTTCTTATTTTTTCTTGCTGTTGATCCATTTTTTATGTTGCATTGTGCTTTTTTGTTGGTGGGTAATGAATGAATAAAGAAAGAAAGGTCTATAGAATTTATTTATTTCCCAAATTTTTATCAATTTATTATATTGATATTATTTTCTGATCACCATTGGATTAGGTTGCTGCTCTGTGTGTAAAAAAGGGTAATCTTCTTGGGATGAAAGGAGAATATTTTTGGTTTAGTATTTGATAAATGAATATATTAGTGGGAGGATTATTATTATTATTACTACTACTGTGGTTTTTGTTAAATGCGGTTTGGCAGAGACCAATATTATGAACAGAAGCATGTTCTCTATAATTCTTTCTTAAAAAAAGATTTGAGGATGGGGGAACCAGTTAGTTCAGAAAGCAGAGGTTGGGTCTTCTGTTCTGCTGCAGTTGTCTGTCTGATTTTATTATGAATATATTTTATTATTTCCTACTTTATACTATATTTATTTGATTTGATTTTGTTATATATATTGTTGGGGAGGACTGAGGAGACAAAAAGGTTAGGGGAAAATTAGGGTTAGTTGGAACTTGGAATCCAAGGTGGGTGGGTAATACAATTACAGATGGTGCCAAATTAAAGGGTGAAAGGCCAAAAGCCAAATGAATATATACATACACACATTGTACACAGTAGTATATTACTTAATTGATTGTGTTTTGGCAGTGCTAGGTGCGGGATAATATTGACAAATGATGTATATTTATATGAGATATAAATATTATTGAGAAATCAATTGATAGCATAACACACTATTTCCAAATAAATCTGTTTTTCCAAATCCATATGAGTATTGTGTTTTGGTTGTATTTATGTAAAAACTAGAGCGTATTATCGATAACAAAAGATAACATTGTTATACACATAAATAATGGAACTTGCTAATGGTTTTCAATATTGTGTTTTGGAGTGTCACTGATCTCATGTGACAAGAGGGTGTCATGAAATTCACTTATATAGCTCGAAGCTCCGATTGTGCTTGAAGGTGAGGTAGACGGAGGAGGCCAATAAGATAAAAGAGGGATCAATCGTTTACTTTACATATTCATCGATATTAATAATGGATAAGATTTCTTTTATACATTATTTTAGCTTACGAATGAAACTTTTAATCTTTATAGGTGATCCAAACCAAAAAAAGAAAGGGAAAATCAACGGACAAGACGTGAATTGTTGGAGTTTATGAATTGGCAACTTAATTGGATTCATCGACTCGCCCCTAAGTAGTGTATGACATCTACTTATGCTTTGTAGGATTCACATGAAATGATCATGATATGAACCCAAATACCCTTTTCCACAAGTCTCCATTACTCGTTAAAGAAGTTGCCTCAGGTTGTTTGGCGAAGCTTGAATTTTGGCCAAGTAATGGAACTGGTTCAGGTAGCTCCCTTTACAAGCATGGTCCTCACGTTTGGCTCGATGGAAATGGGCGTGGAAGGTTTTATTTTGAACATGAAGACTCCCTCTCCAACCTTAAGTGCTTGGGAACTCGAGGGAAGGCTGGGAAGTACAGTTTTCGAGCTCACCAAATACCCATGTCAGAACAGGAAATCTGCCAGGATTTGTCTAAGGCATGGAGCAGTTTCGGGTATGCCACTTTGGAGTTCAATTCACGACAACGTGCTGGGAATCAAGTTTCATGGTTCATACCACATGAAAGCTTGTACTTTCTAATCCAGAAACAAGGGGTTGGGTGATTAAAACCACAGCTGGAAGGCTGCCAACGAGGGCTCTGAAGATGGCATCAAGACTGTGTTTTTCCTTACGTATTAAGTTTCCGTGTTGCTGTAGGAGTTGGTCTGTTTTCACTTTCCTTGTTTAGTTTGGGTTTCTTTTTCGTTTAAGGATGTTTGTAGTTCTATTTAAGCACTATGAGGGATTGTAATCGACAGAATAGTTGGAATTGAGTTTTTAACCCTAAAAACTAAGTTGTCATAGCTAGTTTTTGGTTGAGAGTTTGGCCGAGAAAACCAAACTCGAAATTGCTCTTGTATCGATCAAAACCACCTTGATCGTGGGCGAGCTTCGACGTATACTCATTGAGCCTTCCTCCACGTGAAGGATTGCACAAGGAGTTCCATCCTTTTTGTTGTTAATTCGTTGTTGGCAACTCTAATTTCTTGGCCGCGTTACCGAGCTTGGTGTCAAAGTTCGAATTGGAGGCATCAACACCTTGCTTGGGTGTTATCAGATCAAGAAGCCATTGCCTTGCCCATACACATTAACAAACCTATTAAAGTCAACTACTATATTGGAATCAATATAAGAGAAATATATGAATCAATTGATGGCCCTTGGGGGAGCCCCTAATATATTTCATTTATAGGCAAAAGGGGTGGTGGTGGAGGGCAACCTTGTATTATTAGGGTCCCCTATGGCCATGGGTATCTAAATGGTCCTATTTTGCAGGTTGGCCATTTTCAAGCATGTTCCTTTTCCCCCCAAATTTTATACATTTTGCAAACAAGATCATGCAATAAACTGAAAACACATAATGTCATAGGACATCGACAACTAGTTGTAGGGCAAAACCCACTTACCATCATCCTACAAACATCTCCTTATTCCATCATATATTGGTAATTCGTCACGGCTCTCTCGATCTCCTCCTCTAACGAATTCTCACATCTAACTTGATCAAATGAGGCGACTCTCTTCAGACATAAATACTTGGAGGACTTACTACTAGTAAATATTGTTGTATAGTCGATCACGGAGCTTAGTTTTTCGTAGTTCCCGATTATTTGTCATAATTGGATAACTCATTCATTATTGCGTTTATTTCTGGTCACTAAACATAACACAAATAGTTCATCCTATGAGATAAGGTTGACATGAGCCCTGTGTGAATAAGTGAGCAGTAGAAAATGGCTGGTGTTGTGTGTCACAGCTGGAGAAGAATAGAATGGCTGCATGCGAAACAAACGACAACTCAGCATCATTGCGACTGCCACAACTTGATTACCAAGCCAAGGGGTGCTCTCTCATTACATTTCATGTGAGGAAATTCATGTGGTTGGGGGGAAAAGGGATGATGTGAAACTTTCTTTCTTTCGACCCATTTTTGGACCTCTCTGCAATCTGCCATCATATCTTTTCGAGCTTCAGTTGAGGGAATGGGGCAGGAAAACTGCAGCAACTCATGGGGCTGGAAGTCTCTTGAAATGTTATCATCACCAGACCAGCTGCCACTGACAGCAAGTTCATTCTGAAATGGAACCCAGTTCGTTTCAAAATCCAGTTCATCATTACTACTTTCCCGTTTATTTCCACTCCTTCCCTTCATTGCTTTGACGCCCCAGCTGCTGCTCAATTATGATGTATGCAGCTTCAAACTGTTGTAACTTTTCCTTTTTTCATTCTTAGGCTGGTTGGTTTGCTAGAGCAAAGCTTAGCTTTGAACACCAACCAGACCCACTCTAACACACAGGTCTTGCTCATCTAAATTAAACAAAAGAACAACAACTTTGAAGATAACCCAAAATAGGTGTCCACTAAAAACTAGAACAGCAGAAACTTCTAAAATACTAGAGCATTCATTCTCCTAATCTGTTGCCTCCCAGTATGCAATTCTTCACTTCGCCATATGGCCAGTAGCAACGTGTCCCTTGTTCATTGACTCGGCGGCTTCCTTCTCCTCTATCATCTTGAGAAAATTCTGAACGATGATCTTGCCTTCTGAGGTTATGATGCTCTCCGGATGAAACTGCACACCCTGCAACATTCCCAACAAAAAAAGTTGGCTCGAGGTTATGGATGAGTAGAGTCAAACTAAACCGAGTTCAAGCAATCAGAAAGTAACAGAACCATGAAGAGTTCAGGATGAAGGGCATGGAATGGGTGCATAACAGTGACATTAGAGCACAGAAACCTCACCTGCAGATACTTGTACTTCTTGTGACGGGCAGCCATGATCAGCCCATCCTCAGTCCATGCAGTGATCTCCAGTTCATCTACCGGGAACGTATCCCTGTCGATAACTAGGCTGTGATATCTACCAGCTTTGAAAGGGCTGCAGAAAGTCCATATAGAGATAAAGATGTAAGGTTGGTGCATCTCTTCAACATGTAGTGGAAAGGCACCTCAAAAGAAATATGTGCTATAATGGAAGTGTTCATATAGGTAAGAAAACACAAGCTGTGCAACAATGGACAAAAGAATTTTTTGCAGTTAAAGTTATAGGTGTTCAATTTTGATGTAGAACCTAGGTGGCGTAAGCATTTGCATAGTAAAAGGAAGGAGGTCAGAACATACAAACTTCCAACATGCCAAAAAGACAGGGAGGTTAGCTTGGCAAAGCACAGGAGAGGAACCAAACAAACAAATGCATGAACGTGTTTTGTGGTAAAGATACATACTTTGGCAACCCAGTAAACAAGCCTTTGCCTTTCTCTTCATAGTACACCAGCGAACTTTTCCCGTGCACAACCCCGAACGGAGAACGCACAATGTTCCCTGCAAATATAACAAATGATCGGATTAATGAAGCATAGTATGAGAATGAAGAGGACATTGACATTCATAAACTATGCCACCAAGAAATAACAGTAAAAGTAGCAGCAGGACTTCAAAATTCTTAAGAAAACTGACCGCCAAATGCTTCGCCAATGCACTGTAACCCCATACACACACCAAACAAGGGTACGATTGGTCCAAGCTCCAAAACCGTCTGCAAAGATATTCCAGAATCCTTGGGGGCTCCTATAGAGAGAATCCCAAATCAGTAAAGTGCTTAAATTTCCCTTTTCAGTTTATTGTATTTCTAACAACGTACAACACAGTTGGCACTTGCGCCTACGCAGCATACTGACCTGGTCCTGGGGATATCAGCACACCTCTAGGATTTTTCCTGTCAAAAGGCAGAAAATGTTGCAGATGTGTCGAAAAGCATATAACATACACAAGATATTTGATCATATTAGAAACATAGGAGTATACCTTTTCAACTCTTCCACAGTTAACTCATCATTCCGGTAAACCTCGAATTCGCATCCCAGCTCTCCCATATACTGCAGGACAAGACGATACATGTTTTGGATTAGCAAGAATATGATTTTGGGAAAAGGGAAGT